CTCCACAAAGGTGCCACTTCCATCACATTATGTAAATGGCCTGTGACTAATAGGGAAACCTATGAAATGAAATAAAAGACATCAGTCAGTGCATTTGCATGGTAACCAAGCTGTATGCCAAAGGAGCCTTGTTTAAAAGCGAGCAATTGTAGACAAGATAATTCTAAGGTTGTCACTGTGGAGCATTTTTAAGTGGCTTATTAGCATGGAAGTAAAAGGACAGTGTCATTCTACATCTGTGGAGTTTATGAAGTTCCACTGACTACATCTGCAACCTGTCTGACCTTTTGTTGTGAAGTTACTCAGAGCTTCATTTTAGATCAGCTCTACTATGAAAATATTATTCTAAATGCTGTTTTAAAATATTTCATTGGCAGAACGCCGGGTTCACATCTGAGTTTGGAAGCAGGTGTCCTTCCCTTCTGCAGGATGTGCTGTGTTGGGGTTAATGTCTCTCTGATGCTGATCTTGTCTGTAATTCCATATGTTCCATGAAATGTTATGGAACTGAGGCTAGTAAGGCCAGTTGGAGGGGCTGTGGGCAGCCTGATCTGGAGGGAGGCATCCAGCCCCCACAGCAGGGGGTTGCAACTGGGTGGTCTGTAAGATCCCTTCCAACCCAAGCCATTTTGTGATTCCAAGAACAAGTATTTCACAGAAAATGGAAGTAATATTGAGTCTTGCTGATAACTGCAGCTATTTCTGCTTGCCCTTTCTCTTAACTGAGTTCCTCTGCCACTTCTCTGAACTCTTTGTTGCTCAGTTTTCTCCATACGTGTGCTGACAGTGTGTCTTGTGTTGATCATTCCACTTCTGTCTTGCTCTGAGGTGAGTTCTGCTTTGTTGTGGAGATGTGAATATAAAGGTTTCAAAGGCTCTGATGCATTTACAACAGTGTGGAGGCATAGTGTGGCAACTTTTCTTCCCATTATAGCATCCCAGGGGTTTTTATCATTTGTGGGAATAAATAGTGATAATGGGAAATGTGAAGATTTTGGCCCAAAACAAGAAAAACCAAAAGACTTTTTCCCTGTTCAGATTTCAGGGGGTTAAAACACAATAGTAGAAGCTACTTTCATAGCAAATATGTACCAGTTGGGCTGCAGGGCAGCACTTGGAAAAGCTCTTGCAGTTTGTTCTGCAGATAATGTTTTCTGAGCTACTGAAGGGAAACTTCCACTGACAAATTGGAAATCCTTGCAAAACATCTAGAAAAACAGTATTCCAAACACGCTGGTGATATCTGAGTGCAAATCGTGAGGTGCCACAGTAAAACGGTGCTCTGCCCTTGAGTCATGAATTCCCTTGAAAGCTCCCTGCTTTATGATCCTGTCCATCTTCACCAAAAGGGGTGGCAGTGCTGTGAGCCCTGAGAATGCTCTTCAGCTGTTTGCATTGGTTTTAGTTAAGCGTTTATAATACTGAGGGTTTACAGTGCTTTGAATTCCTTTTCCCCAAGAAAAAGCAAATATCTCTCTTGTCACTGGTTTCTGTTCATCTAAGAAGTGAACATATGAAATGCTAAAGCAATTTCCAGAGCTGTTTGCATCAGAACTGTCCTACTGATATAAGCAATAATATTCAGCAGCTGGGCAATGTGACAGTATTTTACAGGTGATGGTTGTCAGCAGACAGGAGGAATCAGAGTATTTAAATAACGCACAGCACTGGCACTGCTTTTGTACACACACATAATTGCAATCAATGATCAACCAGGTTCTCTGTTCTGCAGAATCATTCTCACAATAAACGCTGTTTTCCAGGTATCTAACTTTAGTTACATGTGTTTACAGTTAAACTGATGAACCATAAAGTAGAAGATATGTAAGGATATATTAATTTACATGGTTCTTTATAAATATATGGAGATGGTCTGTGACTGAACCACCTCAAGTGTGTCCTGATGCAATTTTTCATTATTTAATCCCTCATCACTGCTGTCTTTGTACATTTGGATGGTGTCTGTGAGTTCAGGTAGCTGAACTAACCAGCTCCTTGTGTGTGATCCATGTGTCTGCTCCCCATGTGATGTGAGGTTACATCAAGTAACAGTATTATGGAAAGCAAAGCTGTGATCTGATTAACTGTTATCTGATTCTATTCCTATTAAAGTCAGTTCCCTCCTACTGATTTGTCTGGAAATTAGATATCAGGCTGCATACAAAGTCAGTGGATGTGGTGAGAGAAGATTCAGCACTAAGGGTGATACCCTCAGGGCAGTGATGGTGCTCTGTTCTGTTAGTGATTTTTGTAAGCACAGCATTAAGAGATACTTGATAACTGAAAGCTCAGAACTGAAATGGAGTACCAGCACTTGAATCAAATGAAAGTGTGAGGAAGAGCAAGAAAGAAATCAAGGCACAAGTGTTATTATTCACATTGGTCTGAAGCAGTCTCGCTGCTCAGAGAGCTTCCACCTGGTAATGAAGAACCTCTTATTCTGAGGATCAGACTGAAAAAATGGATTGCTTAACCCTGATCAAGATGACAGGAATAGACAGCTGATATCACAAAAAGCAATAGGAACCTTTTTTTTTCTTTAACTGTTTAATGTCAGAAATATGAACTGCCAAAGCACTTACAGAGGAACAGTCAGGGGAGCATCCATCAGTCCTGGCCTTCTCAGGGTCACAGGAGTTCCTGCTGGCCCTCTGAACATGTGATTTAGACTAGTGTTCATTCCATGGCTGTATTTAAACCACTGAAAACACCTCTACTGTGAAACTAAGCGCACTTGAGCACGGCTGTGAGATGGTAATACTGGCACAGGGGATGCTTGGGCCAAAGTCACACTTGGGAATCTGAGCTGGACCTCATTCAAACCCTAAATACTATCTGAGATGTGTGCCACAGTGAGAAGAGAGCATTCTTAACTCTTGTGTTGAATACACAAGAAGTGGAGCATATTATAGATGTCATGTGCTTGTGAATCGCTTCAGTCAGCAGTCCTGAGCTGTTGTTGCTGTGCTCAGGTGTGGGAAAGACTGCAGTTGAGACATGTTTCAACCTCAGAGAAGGTAACCCAGCCTGTAGTGTCTGTGCTGCTGTAAGTTGTTACAGTCTTGTGAACGGCCTGAATGATGTGATGGCGTTCTGCATGGGCACTGGGACCTCCACAGGAAGCGAAATTCCTGAATCAGATTTGCTCTCAGTTCAGCAGGTGAAATGGAGTTAATTAATCATTTCATTGCCTTGGAGTCTTACCCAGCAGAGAACGGATTCTAAATCCTCACTTTGACCAACTGCAAATACACACCAGCGCCTCTGTTTCTGCACGATGTGTCTCAGTGTTGCTGGCTGGGTTACTGCTTTCTGCTTGGTTCAGTGCCGGTTGTGCTGGGCAAGCAGATGGTGTGGATCAGCAGTGAAAGGAGCCCAGTGATTGAGCTGACTGAAGGTTGTAATTAATGGGAACCATTAATAGTAAGATACTCTTGAGAGCTGATTATTAGCCCCTGCTAGGCATTTAGCTCTCTCCCGATTTTCCTTCTGTAATGCAGAAAGCAGATGTTTGAGCTGTAGCTGTTTATGTGCTCTACTTCACGTGCATTATATTTGATCTAATTAGAAGAAAAGTGCTATATTATGCCAAACCTAATTCATACCTGTCACTCATATGCTTGATTTCCATGTCAATAGTTTCTTACTCCTGCAACTATCACTGCTCTTATGACTTCAGTGGGATCAGGCCCTGGTAGGTTTCAATGAGATCTTGCTCAGGGGGAAGCACGAAGCAGTTGTCAACCAAGTATTTTTCTTGTAGCTTGAACAAGAGAAAGCAAGTTGATTTCTAGGACAGTCGGTTGTTGGACTAAAGTGTATCATTTAAACAGGTGAATTTTAGCTGATTTTTATGTTGGCAATATCGCATGGGTGAGGAATAGGGTTCATTAATTTTTATGACCACTCCAGAAAACGATTTTTATTATGTTTTAATTTGAGAGAAGCTGCATTCAGTACTACATCTTCAGGCTTCCATACATTGCAGAACAGAAGAAGCTTCCAACCCTTCCAACTCTAAGGATTCTATAAGCTCTTTTCAAACATAGTCAAACAGAAACAACTGCAAATGCCTCAGGCGGGACCTCTGGCTATTGCAGAGATATGGCAAAGATATTTTGGAAATTAAAGCAGAAAGCTATTTTTTCTATTGAAAGAGAAACCCATAATCTGGATAATTAGCAGAAACAATTTACTTTGAATTCATAGCATGTCTATTTCATAATGGAGATTCTAGGTCAGTTTTAGAGACCAGAGATGATGGTAACAGAGAAAGCAATGATCTGTACTGGTGGTTTTGAGGAGAATGCAAATGCTTTTAGGAGAAACACTAAACACGTATTTTGTCTTGATCAGCAGAGGTCTGATGCAAATCTGCAGCACAGCAAATGGGGCTTGGTTTAGTGCTCATTTAAAGTAAAGGGAAAAAAAAAAAAAGAAATTCCAACTCTAACATTTTCTCATGTTAAGTTACAGTTTGTAGTTAAAGTTTGAACCGGTGCAAAAGCAAAGCAAACTGTGCTGGAGCTGAAAGGAAGGCACTACTGAAGGCTTAGGGTAACTTGAGGGGCCTTCCTCTCAGTAAAAACTACTTATAAGTTGTTGTGTGAAGTAACGATGTACTGGAGATGGGGATGGTGCAGGGCTGGAAAGTTAAAAAGACAAAAATCAGTTTATAAAAAGACTGAAGTTGAGGAGACCTCAGTATTGATGGCTTACTTGGGCAAAGCCAGCTGTGTAGGAAGGACAGCTGCATTGATGGAAATACTTTCAAGGTGACCTGGAAATTGTGGATTAAAAGATAAGATGTTAACACTGTTGATATTCATTGTTCTTTAAGACTCTTGGAAATGGTTTATTGGCATCAATACCATCATAAAGTGCTTGTTAGCAGTACACCTTTGGGAAGTAGACCTTACACGATTCTGTTTCATTTGCTGAATGAAATAGCAAAGACCACCTCTAACTTCAGTTAGATGAGGAGGTACCAGGATGAAGAGCTACAGAAGGTCATCTGCAGCAAGATACAAAATTTTAGAAGATGCTTCTGGGTTATTTTGGGCATTCTCAGGAGGGTGGTTATTTAATTTCAGAGATCCCTTGGACACATCAGTTTGCAGATTTGAAAGGGCGATGTTTTCATACTCCTGTGGTGATGCTGAACACCTGCAGTGATAAACAAGCCCTATCAAATCCTTCTGAAAATTCTTGTTGAGAAATCCATAAAAGATGGGATTGATACATGTTGAGATCATGGCCACGAGGTGGCACAGTGTAAATGCTAGGTTATGATTACAGCTCATCAGTGCCTCGTGGTTCCAGTCAAAAACAACATTGAATATATTGAGAGGCAACCAGCAAGCTGCAAAGGTCACAACAATTGATATCAGCATCAGATTAATCCTTTTGTTTTCACTCAACCTGCTCTCGTTCTCTCTCATCCTATCTATTTTATTGTGTCTCCGCCGGAGGCATACAAATATCTTGAGATAGCAGATGAGAATAAACCCCAGGGGGAAGCAGTACTGGAGAAGCAGCAGACTGGTGGTGAAAATCAGCCGTTCTGTAATGGAAGGCCAGGCCTCGATGCACGCCACTTTGTTCTTGTAGAAGTCGCTGTGGAAGGACAGGTGCTTGAAGGGTTCATCAGTTAGTTGGTGAAATATTAAAAAAGGGATGGATATCATGAGTGAAAAAACCCAAATGAAAATAATTCCCCAGTAAGCATGTGAGGTATTAGGCTTCCAGCCACGAGGATTTACAATTAACTGGTATCGCTCGATAGCAATCAGTACAAGTGAGAAAATGGAGACTGTGACAGATAAACTTTGTATGAAAGAGCTTATTTTACACATAGCTTCCCCAAATATCCAGTAATCCATCAAAGTGTATGCAGCTGTGACAGGAATACACATGATACAGATCAACACATCCGATAAGGAGAGGTTGGCAATCAGAATGTTTGTAACATTTTGAGCTTCTTTCTGTCTCTTTATTATAACAATCAGGCAAAGGTTTCCAAAAAGCCCCACCGTTGTAACTAATATGTAGGCTGTAATAAGCAAGAATACTGCAGGGAAGGAAGGCTGACATGTATCAAAGTTCAAAAAGTGAGAATAACTGCTGTTTGGCATAGTTTGATTAGGTAAAATCTCTGAAGGATGCCCAATGGCTTCATCCATTGTGAAGCATTTCCCAGACTGTGGGTAACACCTAGCTAGGAAGGTTTTGCATCTGTGAATATGTCCATCCCCTTGATACTTAGAAGATGTTTTTCTTGGAGCTTCACAAGGCGGCAATTAAATCTTTAAAAACAAAGATGAAATCTTTGTATTTGGTGTCCTTGAAGTTTAAAGCAAATCTGATGTAATTACTTACTGCACTGACGAGTTCTGAAAAGAAAAGCAAATGGCGTCATATTAGCGGCTTTGTACAGAAAGGTGGGTGGAGGCTGAGCCTCCTTTTCTAAGGCTCTGTTCCGACTGTTAGCTGTGACTGTGATGTTTGAGAAATAGCAGCGACAGCTCTGTTCAACGCTGCGTGAACGTTTTCATACAAATCCTCTTCTTCTAACAGATAAATGTTGCTTTTCAAAATTAAACCTTTTAAGATCTCAGCCAAAGATTTAGCAAGGTTTGAGGAATTCCAGTGAGAGCAGTCTGTTGCTTTTTTGTTATCAGAAGAATGAAGAATTGGAACCTGCCATTGCATTGCACCTTGAGCTTAAGTGCTATTCAACACCTCTGTGAATGACATCTTTAAGGGAGTACCTTGATTTGCTTGCATGTTAGAGATAGCATGTCTTTTTTCCTCAACCTAATTTGAGAAAAGCGTTAACTATGCAAAGATCACATCTTAGTTACTCACCTGATTGTTTCCCATCCAGAGATTGTTTTTCATTTCCCTGCACTCTGTTCACCCTTGTACAAGGCTGTCAAATGATACCCCCAACATTTTCTGTGATTAAATATAATGTACTCCAGAGATACAGAGTGGACTCTTTTTTCAGTTCTAACGGTTGTCAGGTAAAGAACGTGATACAAAACAATTCTGCTGCTATGAAACTAACAGTAATGGGAAGAATTGGCTTCAGCAGAAGATCTCAGTGGGTCTGAATTTATCACTGAGTTAAAAAGTTAATCTGAAATCAAAGGCTCACCAGCTTTCTAACCAGAAAAGGACTTTGTTTCCAACCTGGAGAAGTGAAAAAGAGGATGTAGGAGTTAGTTTTGAAATTTAAAGATGGGTTGATATATGCTATGCATACAACTTTCAAAACTCAGCCATGAACTCACCATAATTTCTTGTTGAGGTAGGAATTATTGGAAAACTTGCTGCAAGGTCAGTTGTCGTCCCTAGTAATAACTGCCATAGCTTTGTGAGCCCTGTGGAGAGAATGGGATGGAGAAGCATTGGAATGTTAGAGAAAATGCAAAAAGAGGAAGGGATGGGTGGACATTTTATTATTACTAAAAGCAATTTTTATATGTATAAGTTTCATCAACCTTTTTACAGAAATGATTGCTGCTATTTAATCACTAGGGAATAAAAACTGTTTGGTGCCTTGTGCAAGTCCAAGAGTAAACTGGAAAATATGATTTTATAGCTGTTTCATTTCCTACAGCTACCCAAAGAATATTGCACAAAAAGTTATATCCAGAACTGCTTTGTTCTCGTACTTCTGCTTTGTGTTCTTTAAATTAAGAATTTGAAATTGTTTGTTTAAAAAAACAAACAAGCCTTTGTAGAATCTGTTATCACTGTCCTTCTGATTAAAATATACCTTAATAGTGTATTTTACTTAGTCATGCAAGAATGAGAAGTGGCTGTAGATCTGTGTGCCCATACGTGGTTTGATGTTCCAGCTATGCCTTAATTTGTAGTAGGGCTCTAACGTTAGAGTCTTCTTGAATGGGGCCAGTTGGCCCTGCTTCAGCTATAGTGGGGGAATGGCATAAGAACTCAGTCAACAAGGCTTTAAGGGTCGTTGGTTGGACTTTGTAGTCTCTCACAGGTGTCTGGAGCCCAGTAGAGCAGGAAAAGAGCTGTGTACCCTAATTGGTGTGCACTGACTTGGAAAAAGTCCTCTGAGTTCAAGCAAAAGTGGAGGAATTCTGAAGCTAGCACAAATCGGTGATGTGCCTTGGTGTCAGCAGGCACGTATTTCCTGGAATGCACTGCAAACTGCTTCTCCCTAGAATTGCACAAATTGCCTGGCTGGATTTCTCATAAGCAGAATGCATGTGCTGGAAGGACAAGGAGCCTGTTGCCCTGATGAGCTTTGCTGTCACTTCCAGATGTGTAAGAGTCCAGTGCCTGGCTGCTTTGTCCCAGTGGCGATGTTCCTCTTTGCACTGCCTGCAGTGTTCACCTGGCTAGCCTGAGAGCTGCTGTTTAAGAAAAGATGAGGTGTTAGCAGGGGCTCTGGCTTTGAAAGAGATACCCTGAAAGACAAGCTCTGTTCTTTCCTGCTATTTATGTCAGCAGGAGAAGCTGCAGGGACGAGGAGGTCATGAGGCTGAGCCATACTTGTAATATTTTATGTACCTTTTGCTCCTCTCACTTGTTTATCCATGACTGCAAAAGATAGTTTGTGAGTGAGGGCTGTGTGTCCTCTGCCAGTAATTCATTGTGGCCATGGGGCTCCCCTTGGCAACGCCTGCCGTTGAGGACAAATCCCCATGCTGGCCTTCTGGGCAGCGCACTCAATACATTAGCTTTAAGCAGGCTCATCATCCACGTTGTCATTCTTTACTCAAAAAAAGAAAGATTAATTTCTTTTCACTGTTTGCTGTATATTGTGAGTTAAAAAGTGCTCACTTTAATGCATGTCATTCTGAAAGGCAATTTAAACATTTCCTTGACAATGAAATGCTTATACCTGTCTTGTTTAAACATCTGGAGTACTCGTAGTGTTAGAAAAACAAGTTACACCTGAACTCACTGCAGCGTGTTGAACTGTGTAATACAGACTGGTATTTTTTTAAACTGATAAATATTAGCAGAATAAGAATCCTTGAACTGCAATTACAGCTGATGTCAGAACAGGATTGCAGTGTTTAAGGAGAGAACTCATCTCTGCTGCTTACTTCAACCCCTAATCCATGCATTTCAGAAAAGATTCTCTCCTGTAGACAGTGAGAGTTCACTGTGAGAAATGATAATCCACATAGCCTGATTCTTTCATTCCTCTAGGTGCAGAAACATTACTGAAACGTATGAAATGAAAAAATTACAGCATAGTCTAAACTAGAAGAAGTTTTTAAAAGGCTTTCTAAGTATTTTCTTACCTGAAATGCATAGTTCCATCCCCTCAAAGTGATCGGTTAATGTCTTGATTGCAAACGTCATCTGTCCTTTAAATTCCAAAGTATTGCAATCTGAATGAAACTTTCCATTTAATTTTAAATATAGGATGCACAGACTACAATTGTCCTTTAGGAGACATATCCTAGTAGCTTTTCACTAGTTTATAGATTCTCTGATTTCTTACCTGATGAAAAATTCGAGTTGTATCCACTCTGTCGTTACCAAAATTTCTTTTCCCTTTTTGAGTTGATTACAAAGCCAGCAAACACATCTCCTTTGTGTATAAAAGATTCCAAAGCAGAGCCATCTGCTGCTGAAGCTGTATTTAAACTCTCTTCTCTTGCTGAAACAAACCACAGTTTCACAATTTCCGACCGTGATCAAATCCGCCAGCCTGCAGAAAGGCTGCTGAGGAATAAAGCTCTGGAATCCAAGAAGAGGCAAACAGCAGTGAGCAGGGAGGAGAAAGGACCAGCAGTCACGGGGGTGGCTTTTCCTCACTGCATTGCTTCCCTCCGCCCAAACACCTTATCTTGCAATTTTGTTTTCAATTATTTGTTCTGCACTGCAAATGTTTTCCCTATGCTGGATTTCATACGTAAACATTTGCAGATGGTTTCTTGCTTTTTTAACTGAGAGGAGATATCGATGTCCTATTAAGTGCATCATTTGCTCTATTGCAATTAAACTCATCATGTTTTCCACTGTAAAGTGCTATTTTAAATTTTACGCCAGAGTTCTAACAATCTTCATGAGAAGTAAAGCACAGCATGTTATACTGAGAAGGGGATTTATTGTTACTACACTTCTTACAACTGCTATTTTTCCAGTGGAAGTCCATGATCACCCAGTCCTGGTCTCTCATACTGAGCTGTCCAGTGGCTTTCCAGAATTAGGAACAACAGGCAGTAGAAATGATCAGGAGTCAGCATTTGTTTGTGTGGGGACAGATTCATGAAAACAAGTTGAGGATTCTCCCTTAAGTTAGAGAACTGGAACCTTGCAGACCAAACATTTGAGGATGCTGGAGTCTGTCATACTGCTTCTGCTTTTTGGAGAGTGTTCTGAAAGCAGCAGGATTTGGGAATAAGCAAGACTGCTGCTGTACTAAGAGTTCAGATTGGAACTCTATCAGAAAATATTGTTAGTTGTCGTGCTGCTGTCATTGTAAGAAAAGAGAGCTGGAGGGGGCCTCTCAGCTCAGCCTTGATCAGTCTTGTGTTCTTTGTACTTTGTTTCTATTTGTGATGTGTTTGCCTAACCTGTCTTGTGAACATCTGTGGTGATCCTAGGTTATCCCTTCCAGTACCTCAGATACTGTTAGGAAGATTCACTTAAAACCTCGCCCTGAAATTCCCTTCACTTCAGCCCATTGCTTTTTATTCCAAGAATGGTTTCTCGATTCTGAAATTTTAGGCAGACTGCTGTGAGTGTGCAATGTGAGTATACTTTTCTAGAACATTTCTAGCTCTTGCTGATTTTGATTATGTCAAAAACATTGCAAAATACAGCTTTTCCAAAGCGCTTTACAATTTCTGCCCCTGGTTGTGGTTTAACCCAGGAAATGAATCAAGACCTAAAAATGAAATGTGCTGGACGTGTTCCAGAACAAGCCATAAAAATGCGTTGTTTAGAAATGAAATAAGCCAGTAAAATTAAAAGATGTCCTGATTCTATTTACAAATTTTAATCGAAGGTCAGATTGCTTATCTACACAGTCATCTGTTTCTAATACTGTATGCAGTCCTACATCTGTGGAAGGGCTGAAGTGTTTAACATGTGATCCCATTTATTACACAGTTGTGTCTGTCAGCTACCTTCCATGGGCTGAATTTGTTGTAACCTGTTGTGAATTAGATACAATAGATCGGACATCAGAGGCTCGTGGGTGTAGCTGCTCTTGGTTGCTGATGCTTGACGTCAGAGGCGCACACACTGAGCAGAATCCACGGCTGGGTACGCAGGGCCCAAGGTGGATTGTTTTCATCCAAATGCTGCAGTGTCTATTTGCAAACAAGGTTAATGGATAGCAGAATTGTATTTGCTTTATATAAATGATCGTGATATTTCTAAATTGCTCAATAAAAATGACGGGAAAATAGTCTTTATCAGTCGACATCGGTAGCTTACAGGAAGGCGGGATTGCAGGTAGTGAGTGTAAATTGAGTGAGTGTGTGACTTGATAACAAAGTACTGGAAATGCATGTGGTTAAGACTGACTGGGTTGGTAAAGACAGTCAGGTGTAAATTTGGTTTCTCTGCCTCTGTGGTTTTTCAGTGCTTCAAGAATCTGGGAGGATTTTCAGTGTGATTTTAGGGGTTTTACTGGGGTTTTCAATAACCCCAGGAAAAAACAATTGTTTGTTGCAGTAAAAAACATTTGTTTGTTGCAAAACAAACAAATGAACAGAAAAACCTCTAAAATAATGGTGCAGTGAGTCTCATTGTACTGAATGTGAGTCATTACACTGATAACCACCTATCAGAATTATTCCAATTACATAGTATTATTAGAGTAATAATTCCAGTTAGAACATCTTTGCCAAGCTGCTGGTTATACTGTAGCTAGAGGCATGATCTTGGGTAAATGTTGCTGTGGTACTTTTAAACCAGGTAGCATTTAACCCTTACAGGCACAGAGCACAGGGCACTGTCATCTGAACCTGCCAGCCCATAGCTCAGCAGGGGCTCATGTGTATGCAGTGTAGTCTCATCTTGGTTAGAGTGAAGGCACTGTGCTTGCTATGGCATACAGACCACGAGGAGAGTGGAAGATTAGAATGCATAATAAGTATTTCCACCTTTGAGTTTGTAATAACAGCCATAGTGTCAGTAACAGCCTGTTGCTGAGGAGTTCTTCAGTATGAGTTTGGCTAAGAGCTGCTTCAATGACCTGTAATAACTCTGAAAGACGTGGAATATTTCTTGCTAATAAGCATTAGTCTTTGTAGTACTTCAAAGGGGTGCAGAGAAATAAACATAATGGGAACTCTTCCTCTCTTGTGGTAGTGGCAGATGTGCCAGTTCTTGTTGCAAAGGGTAAGACAGTGTGCTGTGATGGAGGAAAAACCCAGTCCTTTCATGGTTTCCTACTTTATGGAGATATCAAGCCCTGAATAGCATCTCCTCAGCAAATAGGTTATGATTTGATCAGAAAAGCAATGTCTGATAATCAACCAAGAGTGCACTGTGAACTTTTCTCCAAAGCCCCTGCAGATAAAGAAGGATTGATGTGTATCTATCAGTTGAGACACTGATCCTTAATTTGTTGTTTTTCCTAATTGGAGAAAAATTGTCACAAAAATTCACTTACAAGTCTACATGGCATTTAGGTTTCACTCCCTTTTATTGCATAGTTCTAAAGAATAGCTGAGCAATATCCTTGATTGCTTGTTCTGGTCATTACCTCCCAATTAGGTCATTCCTAGAATGAAAAGTCACCACTTTAAAATCTACTTTGTCTTTAAATGAGTTACGTGTAGCATGTTCATTTTAAAAATTGTATCATGCCATGAACTTTCATCTCATTTCTGGACCTTCTTCAGTTGGCGTACAGCTGAGATGGAGGCTGATGCACTCTCTGGCTGAAAGGTTAGCATCTTTATTGTTTGGGTCAGCCAAGACACTGTTCTCTTTTCTTACTGAAAGAGATAAGACATATGGGTAATTGAAATAGGAATGTGATTGCATTGATTTACGTTTTATAATAGCTTCCCGTTTCCAAACACTGATTCAATTCTTCGTAGCTTTTCAGAACTCCTCAGCTGATGTTTTCCAAGAGTGATCTCTGCCAAAGGCTGAATTATTGACTGGCACACACATTTGCTTGTTCCCAGTCAACAATCTTTTTATAACAACACTGTGAGCACCAAACCCTGCCGTTCTCATGCCATGAATGTTTTTACTGTCCTAATTATTAATTAAGAAATACTTAAGTAATCAAAAGAAACTTTTTTCATCGCAGCCTGTTCCTATTTTCCTCCATTTTTGGGGGGTCTACAAAGCCTTACTTCTTATACACCTCCTCATTTTAAAATGTCTTTAATGACATGGATGGATATCTTACAGCTGATTTCAGGCAGGTACATATTGAGCTTCACAGCATAGCTGCCCCTGCTGTGTTCAAACAAAGCTAAACGTCAGTCATGCAAAAGACAGACAAAGAAAGTAGCCGGTGAAGGTTCTGTGGAGCAAGAAATAGATGTGGCCTAGGAATAGATCAGGGAAAAAAGAAATCCAGGAGATTTTAATTTAACCACGAAGCACATAAAGAAAGGGTTGCAGGTTTAGAAGATCTGAACATGACCAAAATTGCGGTTGGCCCCAGGCTTGGTCTTCCTTATGCAAAACTTATGATTCTGGTCTATCATAGTCCAAGATCTAGTGAATAATCTGCCCTTTCACATCTGTCTCAGCATTGCTAGAGACTCTTTCATCCTTTATGCTTTTTTCTTTCTTTTCAGACCGTTTCTCCCTGATGTATTTTCATCCCATCACTCCAAGTTATGACCAGCTCTTACATAAACTTTTAGGAAAGAGAAGAAAGGAAATCATCAAATCTGACAGAAGAGTGGAAAGATGAAAGGGGAGAGAAACTGAGCTTCAGACAGGAAAGGGGAGGGCAGTAGTTAAAGAAAAATAGTAATATAAATCCAAAGAAGAGGATGCGATTACCATGATCTGATGACTTTACCCCTTACCCTTCACAAAGATGAGTTTCTTTCTTTCAGCACAGTTCCCTTATAAAGTGCTCAGGGAAGATTTTGTTCAGGAAGGTGAGCTTTTGATAGTACTTGCTGAATAAACCATTCTTGTGGGTTATTCTGTAGTTACCTTTTTTCTTGTTTTGCATTAAGTAATTAAAGCAGAGGGGTAAAGTGTTTTATTCCTCACCTGAATTTGCATGGAGCAGAAAGTTCTATCCCAAGGATCGTCCCCTGTTCACACCTTAGATAGGCAAAAAACTCTTTAGTTTCCTCTCAGTGCATTTTAATTGGTCTTTTTCCATGGAAGCCCCATTGCAACCAGTGGTAATTCATGACAGTCTCAGAAAAAAGATCACAGTCTTAATATTTCTGCAGATTAAGGTACAAAAAGCAGAACAGGATGAAAGACAAATATCTTGTTAAAAAAAAAAAAAAGAAGGACAAGCAGTAGTTCTCTCAAGGAAGGTTGTATCTCTTTCATGAAGCTCTTCACAGATATAGCTTAATCAAAAGGCCAGGATGGGGAAGTTTCTGTTGCTGGTGCGTGTTTTATCTAAAATTTCTTCCTGTGAACTGCACAGTTGCAGCGTGCCTGGAGTGCTGAGTTAGTGGGAGAGAAGCTTCTAAGAGTCTTACAGTCTTACGGAGATCTCTCTGACTTGAGTAGTCTGAAGGCCCTTGCTGAATGTGTGTAGATCTCCGGGTGATCT